GAAGTTTTGATGCTACGTTAGAAACTTCTATTTGGTTATAGACGACAACTAATGGCAAAAATAAAATTTATCAAAAAACAAATAGTTTAGTTATATAATTAATCTTATCAAAAAAACAAATACAACCGAATGTAACACACAAAAGACATAACAACGTTGAGGATGTGGGTTAGCATTACTACATAAATGTAACGTTATTGGAGGCTAATGAAAGTGTGCCAGTGGATGGCTATAATAGATTGTCAAAGCCATATCAGATAAGATGACAGTGAAACATGAACAATTGGCACCACACAACAACAAATCTCACCGATTGGAGAAGCAAAAACCATACCTCCTTCCCCCAACCACTTGGAGTCCAAATCAGCAGAAACAAACAAGACACAACCTCCAACCTTGACGATAGTTTTGGCCATATCCTCATCCGAACAAGCAACATTTTCAAAATCCATCGGAATCTGCGATCAAGGCGACATTCACGTCCACAGATGTAGTTTGCACAATCCACTTTCCTAAAAGCCTCCAAAAACGTAATATACTGAATGATACAATAACCTATAATATGAAAATAAATAAGAAGTATAATAGTACACTAATACCATTTACAACTCATAGGGCTTTATGGAACATATTCCTATCTAAATAAGACTTGAAACTCTATACAGGATTTCACATTAAATAAGTTCCCATAATAGGACTTATAAATAATTTTCCAAAATGAAATTCTAAATAAATTTTGGTGTCACGTCAGTATATTTCGTCTAATTATAGACTGAATGTGAAGGCATGGGCCAAATTAATTCAAAATTTTAAAGTTTAGGTGTAAAATTGATATTAATCGAATTCTGAAGATTAAATTGAAAAATATGCGAAAGTTTGATAGTCAAAATGATATTTTCTAGATCGGACCTGACTATCTTTGTTACAAGTTTATAATAAAGGATTTCAATTATTTATAATAAAGGATTTTCATTATATATCTAATGATTATGAAATAGAAATATAAGTTTATAATTATTACTTTGAGAGGTGAAATAAAATTTTAAGAATAATACTATACAAATAAAAAATTTATACATAATTTTCATACATAATGATATGGCTCATTGCGGACCTTTCACTTTAAAACAAAAAATCATTGAAAATAGATTCATTTACAATAATGATATTGCCATATCATTCTTGTTAAGATTTTTTTCTATAAATTTTATGTATGTTTAGAATTTTCCAAATTTTAAATGAAGTTTTGATGCTACGTTAGAAACTTCTATTTGGTTATAGACGACAACTAATGGCAAAAATAAAATTTATCAAAAAACAAATAGTTTAGTTATATAATTAATCTTATTAAAAAATAGGGGGAATTTATTAGAAAATCTACTTTCAAGTATGTGCATCTCTATGATAAAAAAAAAGAAGAAAAAGTATGTGCATCTCAATTAGTCCATAATATATTTTTATATTCTAATAAATTCTATTATTTTGGACATTTAATCTGCTAAATCTTAATTCTCATATTTAAGGTAATTTATAGACAATTTTACCCTTGCAAATAACTTTTGAACTCTTAGCAGCTTTGTGTGCCCTATTTTGGACTATTTTAAATGTTCCATGTTATAAACATTCAAATTAAATAATTTTGATAATGTGAATATTTCATAATGAAACATTCACATTGTCAATGTGAACATTAATGTGCATTTCATCCTATTATTATTAAGGTATTTTGGTAATTATGTCATTCATAAGACTTATTAGAATATTAAAAAAAAAAATTGAATTAAGTGAAATATAAGTAGGTGAAAAGAGATTTATGAATAAATAAATTGATTTGTGAATGATAATTTGAGAGGTAAAATAATTTTTTTTCTCAAAAATTTTATACCAATTCAAATCTTTCAATTTTGTTGGTTGAGGTTCCCAAACAAATATCGAACATGCTGCGATTTGATTTTGTCCATTCGGTGTAAATGAATGACTAACATGAAATTTAAAAAAAAATTATAAAATTTCACATAGAAAATAAATAAAGTAAAAGTTATTCTATAAATATCAAATGAATAGTATTAGTTACTTTTCTTATAATGCATTAAAAAAAATTAGCATTGGTAGAATTTTCTAAATATGATTTGAGAATAGAGTTGTATTTTAAGTTTGTGAGTTTTGAAATTATGATTTGAGTATAGAAAATTTGTTTGGTGAATTAGTTTTGAATTGAGTGAGAAATTTTTGATATGACATATGATATCTAATACAAAAACTTATAACTCATAACCAAACACATAATTTAAAAATATATTAAAAACTCATAAAAAAATGTTAAAAAATTCAAAAATATTGTTATATATATATATATATATACAAGTGCCAATTGCAAAAAAAATAAAATATAAATAAGATGATTTATGAATAATTTAGGAAAACATGAGAACAAGATATGACTTAAATATTTTTAAAAAATGGTTTAATTTAAAAAATAATCTAATTTTTTTAATTTAAATAACATATTATTCTTCAAAAACTATCGAAATCTAACTTGATAACAACCTCAGTTTAAACCAAAAAAAACACAAGAAATAAAACAAAACAAAACAAGCTCTACTGTAATCAAATGGTTAATTATATACACTATTCTCTTATTTGAGTTGCTTTCAATGGTAGACTGAGAAAGAAGGAAAATTAGGTAGATAATGAGCTAGAGTAGGCGGGTGAAAGCCCTAAATTTTTCATCAGAGATCATATTGGGGAGAGAGAATATGGCATTGAGTAGTATTGATCGCAAAAAAATAAAAATAAAAAATATTCGCACTTAATTTATCGAAAAATTATTACATATCTGTTCAGGTCAACCAGCTGATCAATTGACCGGACGACCGGCCCGATATCCGGGGGACGACCAATTGGCCAAATTTCAAAATTTAAAAGCCCGTTTGAAATGAGTTTTCAAAAGGAGGGGTTGAATTAATTTTTCAAAACTCAAACCAAACATCATACTAGAATGTAGGGATAGAACTATGATTCCAAAACCTTTCCAAACACAGCCTAAAATAAACAAACTTTTAAGGGTTCATTTGGAAAGTGGGTTGACTTTTTGGCTATTTTAGACTCGGGCTAAAAAGTCTCGTTTAGGAAAGGTTTTTTAACTTTTTTGACTTTTTGTGAGAGGAAAAATATAATAATTATGAGTTGGATGTGATGTTTTGTCTTGTTGGACTAAAAATTTATTTTATCTTTTTATAACTAAAATTGCCCCAACATTGCTTCCCAAACGAAACGTAAATCTAAGATTTTAGTTAGTTCAACTTTTATCAATATAAACAATTTCAAAATTAAAACAAACTAAATGTTCTCAAAAACAAACAAAAATAAAAATTCCAGTCATCTTGAGCGAAATTTTTTTTTCATCAATTTTTCGTACTACCCTACTTCAACCTAGTCTAGACTACCTTATATCATCAAATTAAAAGAGAAAATGACATGTTACCCAAAAATAATATTAGGAATCATAAGAAAAATATCATAAAATATATTACCAAATTTTTTCATCATTTAATTAGTCTATAATATTTTATTATATGTATAATCTAAAAATAAAATTTTTTTCATAATTATTTTCATAATCCCCAACATTACTCTTACCCAAAACGTTGTAAAGTCATGGCAAGACTTTTTCCAACTATACAATTTCTATAGTCCACACCACGTGCACAGACAGAACATTTATTAAATACTTTCAGATTATACCAAACACAGAAAATAATTTTCTTTTTCTTTTCTAAATTGTCATCGCTTTGGTTTGGAGTTTTAAAAATAACTTTTTAAATTTTAGATTTGTATTTTTATATTTTTAGTATTTTAAAAAATATTTTAATCAAATTTTGTGTTTACTTCTTAAATCCACTTAAATCTTGATATACTTAAAAAATTTATTAAATACAATACAATAGGAAAATTTATTAAATTTTTATATTTAAAAAAATCACAATTGTTATACTTTTTAAATGTATATAAATTTAGGCCTCGTTCTGTAGACTAAGAGATGTACAAAATGTTTTCTTTCCAAGCAATTCAAGAACATATTTCATCAATTAAATTAATTTTAGTCATAAAATGTCTCTGAATTTCTCTAAACTATTAGCCGGCTTTGTTCCGTCTTAGACATCTTTTGGAAAGGAAGTTTGAAAAGCCCAATAATTAATATTCTCTTGTTTTACTTAAATCATGGGAAACTCACATCGTTTCACGGAATATCGATACTTTTCCCTTTTACTACAGAACTTAATCAGAATGTTTGAATTAAAACTATTGGAAACCTAATCTTGCTTGCAACATTCATGTACTTCTATATGTTCTTAGGCAATGATGATAGAAGAACTTGAAGAAAGACAAAAAGGAAAATATTATTGGGAGAGTCAAAAGTTTATCAATGAAAAACATAGTACCTAAAACACCATTAATCCTGGAATCATGGCGTGTGATTTGCACAAATAAAACTCTTGAATTATAGTACACCACGTATTTGGGCTTTAGAGGACCTGGGTGTGTGAACAGGGAATTTGACAAGACCTTTCATAAAATTAAGCAGAAATATGACTCTTAGATAAGTCTTGTACAAATTTCAACCACATCTAGGTGAGAGTGGTGTGAACAGAGACCTGTACAATTTTGACAGTTTTCTTCCCTTGAATAGTGATGTTTAATTCTAGAATAAATTGAAATCCTAAAACTTATTAGTCCCAAAAAAAAAAAAAAAAAAAAGAGTAGAGAAAGAAATACTCAATACTTCAAACAATCAACTGTAATTTGTTTGTTGAAAACTACTTGCTTTGTCTTGGTCCTGATAAAACTGATGGAAATAATGGGCTAGCAACAGCACCAATGGCATCCTCTTGGTTTCTAGCAACTCTGATTGCTCTTCGTACCATAGGAGATGTGAAGTTACAATCCAAATTGTTTTCAACTTTTACAGAACCTTCCAAGACCTTAACCACCACTGACATTCAAGGCCTCCTAGAAAAATCACTTTGTAGACACCACACAGCAACCCTCATCATCTCCACAACTTCTTCTCTATGTATTTGCATGTCATCATTGTATTTATCAACGATATTCAGAAGCTGTTTCTCTTCTACTTTCCTCTTAAATAGACTTAGTAAATGCATATCTTCCTCAGGCTGAGACCTATCCAAATTTTTGCGCCCATACAAGATTTCCAAGACCACGACACCAAAGCTATAGACATCTACTTTCTCAGTGATAATTGAGTTCACCCATTCAGGAGCCAAATAGCCTGGTGTTCCCTTCCTCCTTGTTACAACTTGGCTTTAGTCCTTATCAATTAGTTTTGACAATCCAAAATTAGAAATTTTCGTATTGAATTGTTCATCTAAGAGGATGTTTTGGGGTTTGATATCTAGGTGAAATATTTTTTGCCTGCATTCCTCATGGAGATAGCTTAGTCCCTTCGCTATATCCATACCCAAGAGTGCAGCCTTGGTGCCTGTGGAAGATCCATGTATCAAAGGATCCATTAGACATGTGGGGACATAATATTTGAATGACAACACGTGGCCGAGGTGTCACCGAAGTGCCGGCTGAGGTGTCACCGAAGTGGCAGCTGAGGTGCCATGTGTCCTGGTCATGACGCCGAGATCATCTCGGCTAGGCCGAGGTTATCTGCGAAGAAATCGGAATCCGGGATAAGCGGATAAGGAACAAGAATCCTAGAACAAGAGAAGATTTCAGCTTGGGTAAGGATAAGACTCTTAGAGAGTTTATCCTAATCCTACTGGGAGTCCAAGATTAATAGTAATCGTGATTCCATTGAAGTTAGGCTTCTATTGGAACTAGGATTGTGTTGGTTATAAAAGGGAGGCACCCCCATGAATCTAAGGTATGTCTTTTATACTTTGTCTAGTGAGTTAAGCACTATTGATTATCTTTGAGAGATATTTTACTGACTTGATCATCTTAGTGCCCCCGGGTAGACGAGCAACCGCCGGAATCTCTTCTTTCTGTTGCAGGTTGTTCGGGCTTAACCTATTCTGCCGGTGTTCTCCAGTTGAGTACTAAGTTGGCAGTGTGGTCGAAAATTGACACACACAATTTGGCGCCGTCTGTGAGAAAGAAAGGAGAATAGGTGGCCAATAACGGATAGAAAGAGAAGGTTGGGGACGACACTCCTACTGGGAGTGGGAAACATATTGACCTTGACGTCAAAGAAGACAACTGCAACGAAGAGACTCGTGATAAGAATCACGGAGGAAAAGACGTCGGCCAGAAAGGCAGCGTGCCGAAGAAATCGGACCGAAGCAGGTATATAACGAGGATGACCTCCAGGTATGGAAAGATAGATGCTTGCGGAGGGATGACGAGATGAAGGGAATAGCGGACAAATTGGCGGACTTGAAAAAGGTCGTCAATTTCATGATGCAGAACAACGTCATACAGCCACCGTTCCCGTTACAAGATACGCTGATTCTAGCGGCCAAGAAGGTTGCCCAAAAAGGGGGGCAGAAAATGGTTCCTACAGTCCCTCAGCATGCCGGGGACGAAGGCGACAAAACAAGAGAAGGGACACGGCTCGTCGAAGCGAGGCTGAGGTAGCAATGGATCCAACAAACAAGAGACCGAGATGATGTTTAATACTTGTTGAAACTTGAGAAAAGTTTACAAGTTGAAGTTAAACCGAGATTATGTTTAACACTTGTTGAAACTTGAGAAAAGTTTACAAGTTGAAGTTAAACGGAGATGATGTTTAACACTTGTTGAAACTTGAAAAAAGTTTATAAGTTGAAGTTAAACCGAGATGATATTTAACACTTGTTGAAACTTGAGAAAAGTTTATAAGTTGAAGTTAAATAGAGATTATCTTTAACACTTGTTGAAATTTTAAAAATTTACAAGCTGAAGTTAAATCGGAGTCATGATTAAAGGAATGAATGATATAGGTTCCATCAGCTCAAGATGTCGAGGTAATAGAACCTAAGGGCAGTTGTGGGGGACATAACTTTTGAATGACAACATGTGGCCGAGGTGTCACCGAAGTATCGGCCGAGGTGCCACGTGTCCTGGTCATGACGCCGAGATCATCTTAGCTAGGCCGAGCTTATCTGTGAAGAAATCAGAATCCGGGATAAGCGGATAAGGAACAAGAATCCTAGAATGAGAGAAGACATCAGTTTGGGTAAAGATAAGACTCTTAGAGAGTTTATCCTAATCCTATTGGGAGTCCAAGATTAACAATAATCCTGAGTCCATTGAAGTTAGGCTTCTATTGGAACTAGGGTTGTGTTGGCTATAAAAGGGAGACACCCCATGAGTCTAAGGTATGCTTTTTATGCTTTGAATAGTGAGTTAAGCACTTTTGATTATCTTTGAGAGATATACTGACTTGATCGTCGGAGTGTCCTTGGGTGGATGAACCACTGCCGGAATCTCTTCTTTCTGTGGCAGGTTGTTCGGGCTTAACCTATTCTACCGGTGTTCTCCAGCTGAGTGCTTGATTAGTAGTGTGGTCGCAAATTGATACCCACAGGACATATACTGGTAAACTAGAAGACGATATGATTTTTCAGCACAAAATCCAATTAATCTTACCAAATTGACATGGTGAATGCTGCCTATTGTCTCAACTTCAGCTAAGAATGACTTCTTAATATGATCAAAACCATTGAGACGCTTCACTGCTATTTTGGTGCCATCGCTTAATTTCCCTTGAAACACTGACCCAAATCCTCTCCCGAGCTAATTGTTTAAATTGCATGTCATGGCTCTCAAGTCTTTGTAAGAGAATTTGGTAGGCATCCCAAGTATTTGACGAACTCATCAAGTTCCTTGGATTCTCCTTTTTTTCTATAAAGGTAAAAGCAAAAGGCAACCACAAAAGATAAAGCTCCGAGACTGGACCCAAGTATGATTATTATTAGTTGCCTTGATTTCTTTTGAGTAGAATTTGCTGGTGAAAAAACAGCAGGAGATGGAGATGGAGCAACAACAACAGCAGAAGATGGAGGCGGAGGATGAGGTGGGGATGGAGGTGGAGGTGGAGGTGGAGGTGGAGGCGGAGATGGACCACTACCATTTAGTGGATATACAACAGGAACTGGATTTGGAGATGGATCACCATTTGTTGGAAATACAACAGCAACAAGAGATTGAGGTTGGGCATTGTTGAAAGGTGCAGAGGATATGAAAAAGGTGGTAATAGCAGCAGCAGCAGCAGCAACATAATAATAAATAGTACAACAACAACAACAACACGGACTCATTGGTGGTGGTCTATGTCTATCCATTATTAGAGCTCTGTTTCTTCATCTTGTTCACTAGTGTTTGGTTTTCTTTTGCGAAAGCAATGGAGGAGAAGGTGTTGCAAACTCCATATTTCGTGTCTGCCAAATGTAGAACAACGAGGAAAGTGCTGCACTTCAAATCACTCGTAAATCACAAACAAAAATGCTATGGACCCAGATTCTCCATCACAGATTTTTCTGGATAGAGCGTTTTTTGCGTTGGAGAATTATTCCAAGTATACAACAGTTTACAAGAATTATTCCAAGAGTCCTTAGAGATGTTGTTTATGTTCCCTACTTCTTTTGTTACGTCAAAAAAACGCGCACACATTTTGTTGACTAACAATAAAATGAGAAAAAAGATCTGACTCTCCGTTACACGTTGTAATAGAAATTTTTTTATTATATATCTAATATTTATAAAAGTGAATTTAAATTTATAATTATTTTAAATTAAAAAAAAAACAATTACATTTACTGTTGGATGGGATATAATGGACCCTCTCCATTATATATCCTTGAGTGTGTATCATATTTATTATGTTACATATTTTTGTGACAAATGTAAGGTAATTCAAAAATTATTATAAAAAAAAATTGCATAATATTACCATGAAAATTTGCGATTTAAAAATATTTCAATACGATTAAAAGAATAAAATTGTCACAAAAATACATAGTATTATTACAAAATGAGTAATATTATTTCAAATACCATGCGGTACAATTATGACCAATGAATATAAATGAAGCTTATGTGGAATCCATTGAATTTATAATTGTAATTGTGCCAATATTTAAAATGTGATAAAAAATAAAAAAGGATGATTATTGTAAGACTCATAAACTTAACAACAAGAATCTTTCATTAAAGACCCTAAGGCATCGACTAAATTAATTATTCATAAATTGACCGGAGCTATCAAAATGAGAAAATAGTTTATGTAATGGGTACATCGCATGGATGAGATGACGTGGTGTCGCCATTACACTTTTTAATTGGCATGTGATTAAAATGAGATTTAAGAAACCAATTGTTCGGGCACATCATATAACTATTTCACCATTTACTAAATATCAATTAATGAGTGAAAGTACGTCATTTCAGTCATCATGTGATGTAATCGTAATATAAAATATTTTCACTTCTAAAAATAGGCTTCTGGTATAATATCAGTATAAGTGAATTGTCTTTAACAACATTTTGATCTAACTTAGAAGTTCTAAATATATTGAAAAATTACATGAATCTTGAGAAAGAAATTTATCAAAATGATATCAAAGTTTATTTTTTAGACTTAGTGATATGTGAAATAGATGATTAGAAAAAATATGAGAGAGAAAGAGAGTTGCCTTAGATACATATTCTAATAGACTATTATATTATTGAGTTTAAAGAGTGAATTTAACTTTTGGAGTAAAATAGCACTACTCATTCACAATTGTCTTTAACACCATTTTGATCTAACTTAGAAGTTCTAAATATATTGAAAAATTACATGAATCTTGAGAAAGAAATTTATCAAAATGATATCAAAGTTTATTTTTTAGACTTAGTGATGTGTGAAATAGATGATTAGAAAAAATATGAGAGAGAAAGAGAGTTGCCTTAGACATATATTCTAATAGATTATTATATTATTGAGTTTAAAGAGTGAATTTAACTTTTGGAGTAAAATAGCACTACTCATTCACAAAACGGCAGTGCTAGAGGCCTTGAATTTGCCTCGAATTCTTTTTTGTTTTTGTTTTTTTTTTGGGGGGCTGTGTTAGTTATTTATTTTATTTTATTTAAGGGTGTTTATGTGTAGCTGCTAGTTAAATTTTGTTAATTCATATAATTTTGTACAATGAGTTGGTGCGAAATGTCTAATTTTTTGGCACACCTCTACACATAACCACCTTTAAAAAAAAAAAAAAAACCCAACACAGCCCAACAAATAGAAGGAAAAACAAAAAAAAAAATCAACCTATGTGGTTTGATAAGGTGAGCAAGTTGGGTTGGACTAAGTGGGTGATAAAATTGACTGATCAGTTAGACTGTTGGTTAAAATTTAAAAAAAACAAAAAAAAAAAAAAAAAAAAAAAAAAATAACACAACCAGAAAAAAAAAAAGAAAAAAAAAAGGAATTTGAGGCAAGTTGGAGTCTTCGAATTCGAGGCCTCAAGCATTATTGTTCACAAAATATATTACATCTTGGCTTTTCAAGATTACTTTAATATTTGAATTAAATCTATCT